ACTTTAATGGAAACACTGAAGGTCGCTACATCACATCATCATAGGTTACTTCTGAGCCAATTTAATCAGCAACCAAACCAAGGCTGTGGAGGAACCCCCGCTTGGGAGAAGATGCAGCCCACATAGGGAGAAGGTGGTGCTAGTGAAGGGATCTACAAAGGACAGAGCTGGAAACACAATACCAAACCCCAGCCTAAGCTGGTGTCCACGGGGAGCTGCTGCTCCATCCCCCAGCTCTGACCCAGCCAGGCACAGCCACATTGTGTGGCTCTGCCCCGGGTTTTAGTGGTGTGGCCATCCTGCATCATCCCTGCTCTCGCTCAGTTTGGCTTCTTCATTTAACAGCTTCCTAATTCAATTGCTGTCATCCCCATCCTCTCCTCACCACTGCTGGTGCAGATAACCTTGCTGAGCTCCTCCTGGAGATTTACCAGCAGGAGGGAGCCCATTAACTGATCTAAGCTTCAGAGCTGCTAATTGAAGCTAATGAATTAACCAAGCGGGTGTCGATTTCCAATCTGAACCTTTAAGGGGAGGGGCAGGATCTCCTCTCTCCTCCGCCCCATCTTGTGCATCCCACCGTGGTCCCCTGCCCTGACAGCTCAGGATGTTCCCTGCTCCTCTCATCCTGAGCCGAGTTCCACCTGGCTTCGGGCCAGGCAGGATCGAGGCGAGAGGAGAGCCCCTTCGAGCTGGGAAAACAAAAATAATCATTGTAATAACGGCCGGTAAGACTTGCACTGCCTGCCAAGAGCACGAGCTGCTCAGTGGTGAGGCTGAGAGGCAGCTGGCAAGCACGGGCTGCCCATGGCGGTGGCGGGGCAGAGGGCAGGGGATACAGAGAGTTGAGGAGCACCGGGCCGAAGGCTTTCCTGCCTGGCAGGATGAGGGATGTGGCCCAGCAGGGCCAGTCCCACTAGCACGGGCACTGTGCCGTGAAGGAAGCTGTGTGTGCTGACTGCACTGCTTCTGCCCCATGTGTGACCTGGCTTTGACCCTGCTCTCCCCATGTTCTGTGCCACAAGGGTGACTGAGTGATGGTTTATCCAGGACCAGGCTGTGCTACTGCACACAAACTTGCTCTCTCCTCTCTCAGTTAAGAGGCAGGACTGAATCACCTTCCTGGCAGCACCTGGCTGGGTCTCTGTTGCAGCTCCAGGGCCCCAGTTCCGCTGTGTCCACACATCAGAGACAAATCCAAAACCAGAAATGTTAGGAGATCCTCAGCAAGGTCTCCTGGACTACAGGCAGCAACAGAAGAGGGGTGGCGCAGGCAAGCAAACGGATATGGCAGGGTTTTTCAGTGCACCCTCCACCAGCCGGTGTGCAGGGCAGATGCTGTTCTGTGCCACTGTGACATTGTGGCTGAGCCAGCTGGTGCCATGGTGGAGAAGGAACAAGCCTGGCCCTGGAGATGCATGTGGGCAGGTGCTCTTGGCTGTGCATCTTTCCTGGAGATGATCTGCACACAGAGCTGTCAATGCCTATTGGTCCCAGTCAGGTTACTGTCCATCCCTGTTCCACCTGCCTGCAGAGCTGTCCTGTGAAGTCTCTGCCACCCCTGTCACCCTGGCTGGCAGAGCCACGCCTGCACTTCAAATACTGACCAGTGCCCAGACTGTAGTGACGGACGGGTGCCATAAAACACATCAGCACAAGCAGATGCATGGCAGTGCCAATGACTGCCTTGCTGGCTGCCTGCCTCCTCTGAAGAGCACTTTCTCTGATTCAGAGGGCAGCCGTAGTTTCCCTGCCTGCCCAAGGCTCCTCTGACACTGCCAGAGCTCTGGCTCAGCCCTGGTGAATTGCAGGGAAGCTGCAGCAGCTCAGGGCTGTGGAAACAGCACCATGTTACTGAGGTGGCACCACTTGCCTGGCTGATGCGGGCTGGCAGCTGCTGTGCATACACTGATGTTCACCAGGACCTGCAGTGGGATGCTGTCTGTGCTCCCTGCCTGGCGCTTGTCTGTACCACCCGCTGCCCATCAGACACCGATGGCTCACGTGTGCTAAACTCCGGGGCAGGAGTGCAAGCCAGCAGCATGCAGCACAGTGTTCACACCAAGCAGTGTGCCAGGGGAAGCTGGAACACATGCAGGCACAGACACCAGGAATGCAGCCCCCTGAGCCTGGCGGCACATGCAGAACCCAGCCTGAAGCCAAGCTCCTCCACCAGACCCCGGGGCTTTCAGCTGAACCCAAATGCTCTGAAGTAATTAAATAAAACCAGTGTGATCTTTCAGCAGGGCAGAAACATGGGCACATGCACCAGGACAGTAACAATGGGGCTGCACCCTGTACTGCAGCACTGGCTGCTGCAGTGGGGAGCCACTGCACAGGGGCAGGCAGCCCGAGCCTGCCCTCATTTATCTCCCCTCCGAGTTGTGAATGAATGAACTTTCTCCCAGAATAAATAACAATCGCTCAAAAGTTATTTTAGGGCTAGTCTCGGTCGCTGGAGTTTCCGCGCCTGCCGAGGCCCATCACATTGTTTTCTGCAGCTTTCCTTGGCAAGGCCCCAATTCAGGGTTCAGGAGCTATTACTATAAAAGTCAAATTGCTTTGAGGGGGGAGTGGGGGAAGCAAGGCCGGGGGAGAGCTTGGGGATGGGATTCCTGGAAGGCCTCCAGCCAGGGATAATTGGAGCTGCACGGGGTTGGACTGGTCCCTGCCGAGCTCAGGGGAGCCTTTTGCCTGGCCTGTGGTCAGTGGGATCGGGGCAAGGAGGAGGGCTGGGGCATTGCAAGCGCAGCCCCCCGGCAAGACAATGTGCTGGAGACGTCCTGGGAGGCTCCAGGCTTGGTCTCTGTCACATCCTGAAGAGCTCCAGCCCATCGTCCTCTTCGTGGCCTCTTCAACCTGCCCTTTCCCTGCTTCCATTTGACGCTGGTTATTTCCCCACCTACAGTGCTAATTACTTTCCTGCTTTTGCACCGAGGATCAACTTAAGCCCTGAGGCATTAGCATTTTATTTCCCTTCTAAAACTTCCTCTTTCAGTGTTCACCACCACAACTCTCAGTAAGTTTGGTATTTCTAAAAAAAAATGCCCTGCCTCTTTGCACCAACCTCCACGCTTAGTTGCAGTAAAGCTGGTAACAAGATGCCAGTGCCCATCCTGCACCAAGCATCTTCTTCCTCTGTTCTTTGGGCCCATTCACCACCTGCTCTGCAGGACAGAGTTTGTCCTGGACCTTCCCCAGTGCAGTGGGGCAGGAGCAGCTCATGGGACCTCAGTGGGTATGGGGGGCACAGGCCCCCTGTGACCTCATGGGATTTTGCCCTGGCTGCTGTGATCCACATTCTTCAACCTAAATTTGGTGTCCCTCTGACCTGCACTGCAGAGACCTGCCCCAGGGCTCCCCCCCCCCGAAAAAGCCTGGCACCTCAAATCCACCATGACACAGTGTCGGGAAACTGCTGTGAATACTCTGCAGCCAGGAATCCCGAGTTGGGAACAGACAGGAACACAGCCAGGAGATAAGATGTGGCTCAGCTTTGATACGTGCAGCTCGTACGCCTGGAGCAAAATGATCAAACATGGGTATCCACTCGGCAAGATGACCGCTGGGCACCATGGCTTCACGAAGACACGGAGCTGCAACAGGAGGTTAACTAGCAGCAGGATGTGGCAGCAAACGTGACCTGCAGTGGCATTTCAGAGAGCACACCTTTGTGGCATTACCACCTGGAAGAGCCTGGTGCTGCTCCTGGTTCTTCTCTCCTCCTGGCACTTCAGCCCGGCTCAACCACCCTGGCATGGCAGGGCACATCCCATCCCCTTCCTTGCCTGGGTGATGGGATGCTGTGCTGCCTGTGGTGCTCAGATGAGCAAATATAAAAGCACTAACTGAGTATAAAGAAATAAAATGTGAGGAAAGCAGAGCAAGCAGGGTGAACTTCAGCTGCCGTGGCAGTTGGGAGATGGGCAGACCACCCTGCCTTCGAGTGTGCGGGAAACCCTTGTCCCTGGGCTGCCAGGCTGCTGTTCCACGCCTGCAGTGACCCACTGCAAACCCCGGGTATGGCTGCTAGGGAAAAGCTCTGCTTCTTGCAGCTTAAAGCCAGCAGAAAGCATCCCTGGGAACACATCCAGCCCTGCTGGTGGGTGAGGTGGGCTCCTGGCTCCTCTGGACACCTTTTCCACCTAACTATCCCATTTAATCCCCCGCTGTGCGCCCCTACCACACCGGCAGCACCCCCGCCTCTGCCGTGATAGCCATCCACCAGGCACGGCCGGTTCCTTCCCTAATGGATCTGGCAGCTGAGCCGGGTTTCGATTTCCCCACGCTGGGTTTGGTTGCACAGTCTGCTGCAAAGCGAGAGCCGGAGCCTGCGGCAGCGATGGTCCCCTCGCCCCGGTGCAGCTGCCTCGCCTGTGGCTCATCCTGCCTGCACCCTTTCAGGCAGTCATCGGCGCGCTGGGGAGGGGAAGGAAGAAAATGGATTCGCAGGAATCAGATTGTGAACTAATATCACATGCGGAAGAGCCTATGGGAAAGGGGCTTCCAGGGCTATTTTTGCCCAACCAAAGTTGCAATTAATTTGCGAAGGAAGTGGCTCGGCATTAAGAAACCCTCCGGGCAGAGCCCGGACCCAGCGACGCACATCACATTATTTCCTCGTTTAAAAAACATCGCGGTGGTGAAGGGGCTGCTCCCCCTGGGCTGGCGCTAACGGAGAGCTGGGGGGACTGGGGAAGGGGGGAGCTGGCTCCGGAGGGGCAAGCGCATTTGGAGAGGGAGAGAGGGAGCAGAAATTAACCTTGGAAAGCATTCAAATTAGTCTGTGTAATAAGAGACCTACTTCTCTGGGTAAATTTGTTAGGATTAGGGCTCACTGAGCTGTTGAGGAGAATTCAGTGTGGCTCGGAGCCAGGGTGAAATGAAGCTCCTGGCTTGGTCGGCTGTGGGGAAGTCCAGGCTAATGGGCTTTGGTTCAAACTTTGATAGGAAAAAAAAATCCAGGAACAAAGGCACTAATTCTTCCAAAAGCCCCCAAATCTCAGTTTATACATTTCTGTTTATATTCATTCATAATAGATATACACAGCTGTTCTTATCATTCATATTCAAATTCCATATGCATCTTTAGCAGTTATTACTCCTGCCTCAAAAAGAAAAAAAAAAAAAAAAAAAGCCATGTGGAAGAGTAAAAAAAAAAAACAACCCCAAACCAACCTGCCTTGGGGTGTGAATTCTCCCAACATCTGCGTTGAGCTCAGATCCTTGCATTGGGGTCCAGCCTTGGGGCAGAAGAAGAGCCCATTGCGAGCCTGAGCTGGGTGTTCTAGGGACTTGTTTGAGGCTCTTTGTCACCTGCCACGAACCCTCTGCCCTGAGTAGTGAGGGGGCTGGCTGGGGTTCACCTTGTGCCGCTGCTTCTGACATCTGCCAACGAGGGCATGGCTTCCCCCAGCGATGCTCTGCAACGGGAGAGGAGTAGATGAACCTGACCTGCTCCCCAGCTGGGCTCACACTGCCCAGGGTGAGCAGAAGGAAACTTCTACAAATTCAGTATTTTTTAAGGAAAAAAATAAAATAATTGTATTTTTATTTTATTTGGTCTTTTCTTTTAATAAAGTTTGTCTGTCTCACAATCTAGAGGATCTTTCCTTGCTTCCTTAGACACTTATCCCTGGACACCGGGCTAAGGAACAACAAAAGACATTTAAATTGGTGTATCTCACAGAATATTTACATCTTTAAACCTCACCTCTTTATCCACAGAGATTGCTCTTACAGGACAAACCTAGTGCATTTAAGTAAAGCTCATCAGGAAGAGCTGGCTGCTAGAATGAGCAGCAGGGATATAGATAGCACAGATACTTAAAGTGTTGTCACTAGGTTTCAGAGTTAATCCTGCTAACAAGTTCTCCTCTTAATTCTGAGCTGTTCTGCACATTCAGGGGGCCTAGAGACACTGCTATTGATTCTTAGGATTATTAGGGGATGGCTGAGACTCCATCCCTCTGCCAGTGGACATGCGACCTGTGGTCCCTCACTGTGGAAAGCAGGAGCAGCAGCGGTGGGACTGGCTTGCTGCAACAGGCTCTAACCCTCCTCCTTCTCCTCACTTCTGCGCAGTGCCCAGGCGAAACGTGGGCTCTCCCGTGCGGTGGCAAGGACGGAAGAGGTCTGAGCTGTCGCAGGCAAGCTCTCACGCTGGTCCCAGGGCCAGGAGGGAGCGACGCGCCCCGCGGCGCAGCGTGCCTCTGCCGTATTTACATTCCAGCGTAAATTGCTTTCTCCTCTCGTCTCTCACGCGTCCTGTCTCCGTCCCCTCCTGCTGCACGTTCCCCGGCAGACGCAGCCCCTCCGTCTGGTTGAAATATCCTTTAATCGGGAGCCCATGTCTTCCAGCCACAGCAGAATGGAGCATCAGCCTGGGGACAGGGGACAACGCGAGCCAGCTCAGCCACGGCCCCCTGGCTGGTGCTCTATGCCCCCCACATGCTGTGCCCTGGCATGGTCCTTGGTGCCCGGGGAGGTGCACTGAGTGGTACCAGCACCTGCCCCCTGCTCACTCTCAGCCCAAAACCACATTATCCCCATCACCCACGGCACAGGTTAACACCTGACCGGGTGCACTGGGACATGTCTCACAGGACAAACTCTATACAGATGCGTTCCCCACTCGTGGCCCAGCTGGGTGTTTGAGTGCCTGTGAGACATGAAAGGAGGCATCATCCCATGACTGAAGGACCCTCTCTGGGCTGTAAAAGGGGCGCCAAAGGAGTGGAAAGTAGGCTCACCCAGCCGTCTTTCATTTAATGAACAAACACACAGAGACCTGGAAGCAATAAATCCAGAGCTTGGACTACAAAACCAAACACGGCTGCAGCTCCCCTTTGGAATGAGGGAAGCAAGAGGAAGAGGACAGCCACAAAGCCAGCTGGGAAGCAAAAGCACCATCTCCCCTCCTGCAACCACTCCTGGCAGCAGGGCTGCCTGCTGAGCAGCCAGGATCCTTTAAAGTGGCCTGATCAGGGTGCTCTGGCCAAAGATGCAGCCCCAAAAAGCTAGCTGCTCTAGCTTTTTTGGACTGTCAGTCACCGTGCCTGAGGGATGCACAAAACATCCTTGGGTGCAGCCTGGATTGGCACGTCCCAGGGAGAGCAGTCATCTGTTGCTCTCCTGGCAACAGCAGAAGCAGAGGGTGCAGAAGGAGGACATATTCCTTCCATGTCTGTGGCTTCGCCCGCACCCCTGCACGAGATGCCAGCCCATGCAGGCAGCCAGAGCCTTCCCAGGGACCATGGTCCACACGTGCTGTGCGTGTGGGGTGTCTGGCTGCTGTGCTCTCATGGGGCTACACCAGCGGTGCTGAAGTGAGATGGGGCTTCCCTGAGCTGCTTTGCCAGGCAGGAGTCCCCCAGCCTCGGTGCTGCCTTCCTGGGGTGCAAAAGTGGCACAGGACAGCCAGGATGACTTGGCCCCTCCCAGCACCACCTGGAGAAACAGCCAGGAGCTGCCAGACCCTGATGCTGCGAGCTTCTGTTGGGTGTCCCTATCCTGGCTACCTCCCTCTCACTGCCAACCCCTCTTTCCTGCTTCCTCCTTGCAGCGAGAGCTGAGCTTTGGTGGAGACCCTGCCCTGTGGAGACCCTCTGGCTCACGGCTGCCTTCCCACACAGCTCGGTTGTACAGCTGCAAGGATGGGTGTGCACCCAGGCCACAGCACAGCTCACTTTATGAAGCCTTGATCCCCGTGCAGGAGGAGACATCCCACCCCAGAACCCTGGGGAGTCCTGTTCACGCTGGGCTGGAGACCCAGGGCGTAGGAGAAGGATGAGGGTGGAGATGACAGGAAGACCGACGGGCAATACAGGCCACTAGTAGGATCCCCGGCAGAAACCCCACATCCCCATGTCCCCCCAGCAGCAGTCCCAGCTTTCCCCACATCCCTGCTGGGTGCTGGGAGGGGCTGGGTGCCCATCAGCCTCCCTCCCCAGGACCCCGCTCACCTGGCTGCCAGCCCACCCATGGGACCCGGGCATCTCCCCTTGCAGCTGGGGAAGCTGCAGCAGCATCACTGGAGCCACCTTCTCCTTCCAGCGCTCTGGCAAATTGCTACGCGTGAAACGAAGGTGGAAACATAAATGAAATGGATGAGTCAGAGGAGAAGTTCAAAAAGGGGAGCACAGGGAGGGGGTGAAGCAGGATCCATCTCCCCTCCCACCTGCCAGCAGGCAGGGAAGCAGGCAGCGTGCCTCGCCTGCTCGGCAGCCCATCATCGCTTCAAAGCAGGCGCAGATAGGATCTAGGAGCCAGAGAAGGCACTGAGCAAGCGCTTAGCGGGAACAGAGATAGCTCCTGATAAGCCAGCGTGTGAACTCCCAGATTTAAATTAACTAATGACTTCAGATGCTGCCGATAGTCTGCAGGGGGCAAGGAGAAGTGATTTATGGGGGAAAATTAAGCAGACTAATTAGGCCAGCCTCACCACTTAGGAGTTTTCCAGCCGGGCTGGGGGCTGTGCTAGGGAGGACCTCCTGTGCCCCAGCCTCATGGGAAGGGATGGAGAGCAACCCCAGGGCTCCCTCACAGCTGTGGGTGTCCTGTCAGCTTTCCTACCCAGCAACATCACTGCCATGTGTGCGAGCATGGCAGATCTCACCATGCAGCCCAGCACTCGCCCACAGCTGCCCACTGTTGGATGCAAACATGGAATGTTCATGGGCTCCCTCCCGCTGCGTGACCTGCCTCTCCCCATGCTCCCCAGCCAGCACCAGACCTCTCAACCCACACCAGGCTGTTTTAAATTACAGCCTGGCTTCCTACCCAACCTAAACACCTCTCATCTGCCGGGTGCTTTCCCTATTAGTCGATCATTTGTATTGTTCTTAGACAATAGTCTGTTACAACACAAAGCCAGGGTGCGTGCACGCCTCAGCTCTGCCTGGGACTTACCTGCTGGCAGGGGCACATGGAGGGATGTGCCCACTATCCTTCCACCCCTCTTGCTGCTCGCCATGGCCACTGTGCACCAAGCACCATGTGGACCAGGCACCACAGCTGCCAGGTCTCTGGGGAGAGTGCAAGGTCAACATGCACCTCTTCCAAACCCCCGTTACACACACCCTGAAAACCAGTGATTTCCAGTGGCTGCACAAGCACTGAGCTCAGCCCCATGCACACTGATTCACTGTTCTCACATGTAACAAGTTGGTGTGGTCTCAGCCAAGAGAGCTTTTTATCATGCTGTGGGAAAGCACTTGCAGTTTCTTTTTCCAGAAGCCCTGGATATAATAAAAAGGCCTCCTCAGGCTTCAAAGCAGGAGGATTTTCACTGCTTCCTGGGCCAAGAACAAAGCACTATTGAGCATGGCCAACAGTTGCTGTCTCTGTCCCTTGATGTGCATCAAGTATCCCATCCTCAGGGCTCAGTGGCAGCATGGAGGCCTGGGTTCATAAGGATGGAGATGGGTTCATCCTGCTCTTGCACTGGACCGTGAGCACTCCATGCCATGAGCTGCCAGGGTGGTCTGACCCAGGGGTTGGCATCACTTCCCCAACCACCCTCTCAGTACCTGCAAAGACAGCGAACTGCTGCTGCAGTGAGTAATGCTGTTTTCAGCAGGATTGTGTGCATGACTGTGTAAATGACACAGTTACAGGTACCATGAAACAGCTGTTCTCATGTTAAAATGTAAATTTAATAGAGTGACAAGCAGGAGCTGGGAGGGATGCAGCATCGCCTTCCTCCCGGAGCCCACACAAGCTGCAGCTTAACTCTGGGGCATGAACTCCCCACCGTGCTCAAAGTTCAGCCCTGGTGTGATGATCACCCAGAGACATGTCGAGAAGCATGGGTGCTTCCTGTACTTTGCACTGGGGTGCCCATGGGGCACCAGAGCCCTTCTTTCAGACCACTACCTCCAACACAGCAACATGCTGGGGACAAAGAAGCAGCTGGGGATGCACAAGCAGCTGGGGATGCACAAGCAGCTGGGGATGCTTCCTGGACCCCCTTTTGAGAAACAGAAGTTCCACTATCAGGATAAGGCACCTGGGCCTTTACTCTGCCCATGGCTGGGCCTGGGACAGGATGCCTGGAACCCTTTGTCACCAGTCATTGGGACTGGCTGTGGGGGGGGCTCTGCCTGGCATGGTACTATCAGTCCCATTGCTGGAAGTGGGGGTCTGGAAGTGGGGGTTTTGTGGGAATGAACCACTGCTGCCCTCATGGCTCTTCTTCTCCCTCATGTGACACAGAGCATGGCTGTGGTGCTCCCACGAGCCCCTGCCTGCTCCCTACATCCCGTGCTGCCAGCCCACGCTCTGGTCCCATCACTTCACCCCAGTTCCCTGGGAAACAAAAGGCCTTCACGTTTGCACAGAGCTAGAGGCAGGAAAGTTCATGTGGAAAGGAAACAAAAAAGGGAATGAAAAGCCCAGAGGAAACAGTCTGCATCACACCGCACTGCTAATGCCATGCTGCTGCGGCCGCCCGTGACCTGCTGCAGCAATGCACAGCGTCATTCACAGGCAATTACTCATTGCACAATATTTTTATTTCCCCAAACCATTAATGAATTATTTAGGCATCTCTAGCAGTCACATGGAAAACGATTACTCGCTGTTCATCCCAGGCTGTCAGAGCAGGCTACCTCAGTGCCTGCCAAGGAGCAGCTTTTGGGAAAAGCATGCCCATTGCCGTGGCGCTCTGCGTGCCCGAGCACAGCTATGGCACTGCAGAGCTCACTGCCACACTGCCAGCAGGGCAAAGCGACGCCGGCTCTCCCTGCAAAGGTTATCCTCCAGGAGCAGGGGCATTTTTCCAGAGCTGGAAGAGCACAGTCCACCTGCTCCACCTCTGCTGCTCCCCTGCCCTTCCCCTCCCTGCAACGTGCTCCAGGCACCTGCCTGGTGCCAAAACCATTGAGAAACCCGGCGCTGATTTGTAACACGTGAAGGCAACGCACTGCTGGAACAAACCACATCCACTCACAGTGAACCGTGCCTATCTGCTGACGAGCGAAGGGCTGGGACGTCTACAAGCTGCGGAGAAAGCCCCGGATATGGTGAGCCAGCGGGAAGCCCCCTGATGGGGAGAGCTCTGGCTGCTGCTGACTGCAGCCCTGAAACTTCATGAGGCTAACGCTGATCCCTGACACAACAGCTCCAACCAAAACACACATGGGCTCGAGGTGTCTCATCCACTCAGCCCAGTTTCCAAAAGCAAGGTTTCTTTCGGCATCTGCACTAAAACTAATGGGCATAAGCTGAAGGGTCCTGAACCCAAACAGGGAGATGTTCCCAACTACTCCAAGAAACCTCTTTAGTCTTGCAGATAAAGGCCGTGAACACTCAGCAACGTGCGGATAAAAGCACTCATTTAAAAAACTTCAGGAAAAAAAAGAAAAAAAAAAAGAAAAAAAAGATGACTCCTTCCATAAAATCACCTTGCCCTGTTGCAAAGGCACACAGTGAGGAAGGACTACTGCTGCTCCAGTGCTGGTTAATGCTGGTTAATCCAGAGGTAAGTGCAGGACTTCCAGCTTCCCTAGTGCCTGGTTGCTGAATGATGTAGGAGCTAATGGGAGAACTGGGGAGCTGCAGTGCAGGGAGCTCTCTGCCCCAGAGCTAAGGATTCAGAAGGCTGCATTTTAGAGCCAAAATCCCTAGTAAGGCATGGGAAGACCTGCTCCTGGCTCCCCTTTTCCTGTTGGTACAGCCATCAGGTTGCTGATGTTGGCCCTGTGGAATGACAGTGGAGCTCTCAGGGCTTTCATCTGTAAGACCTGCTTATCCCTTCCCTCCCTTGCTCCTTCCCTGTGCTCTCATGCCAAGTGTACAACCTCCACCACAAATCTGTCTCTGGTCCCAGCCTGGCTGGGCTCCAGGCTGTGCAGGGGGCCTGGTGGGGGTCAGCTTTGCTGGCCACCGTGGACCCCTTCCCCTGGCAAGGCCAGCACCCCTCCTGGTCGCCCCCAGCGCACTTGGCCATGGGTCTCTCTCAGTGCTTTGCTCTCTCCCCTTTCCCCAGCTCAGCCTCCTGCGTGACTTCAATTACCATTGAAGTCTTCCTTCCACTGCCCCTAGCTTCTGCCTTGTGGGTTGAAGACGCTAGTTGCTTGCAGCCAATAGCAACACCCTTCTCAGACCAGGGGACTATCACCACTTCTGCTTCCAGCTGCTGCATAACGTCCAAATCCTCTTCCTCATGGCTTCACAGCTGTATGCTGTCTCTGTCATCCCCACCCCAGCCTGCCCAGTTCATGGCATCCCCAGTGGACCCAGCCCACTGGCAGTGCCTCCTTCCCAGTCTCCGTGGGGACACATTAGGCTATTCAGAGACAAAACTTTTTCTCTCTGGGGAGCTTTGTTGGTGTTTCCTGCCCTAGCACAGCCTCCATGACCATTCCACCAGACCTGGAGCCCGCCAGTCTTGTAGTAGCAGCATCAGAAAGGGTGAGCCCCATACCCAGGCCACTCCAGCACCTCACAAGCCTGGTATGCTCCTGGCCCAAAGCACCCAAGTCTGTCTTTTACCTTATGAATTACTTCTGTGCTGAAGGATGGGGCAGAAAGAGCTTGAGGGTTACAGGTAAAGATGGAGTAGGGACCCATGCAAGCCTGAGCCTGTGTACCAGTACCTGGGTGCTCAGCTGCTGTGATTTCCAGGTGATAGTCCCCTCCCTGGGGAAGCACTCAATCCACATTGGCTACTGCTAAATTTGTTGGAGAACCTTGCCCAGGCTCACTGGTTTGGGCAATTAGACCTTTTCTGCAATGCATGGCTCCCCCCTCTTGTTCCCTCTGATGTCTCAGCGATGAAAGCTGAGATGAGACCCGGAGGGAGGGACCCCCCGTAAGCGAGAGGGAGTTCGCAGACACCACCGCAGCTCCAGCTTCCCCTCCTTCATCCCCAGCTCCGCCGTGCATCCTGTGGCTCTCGCCTGCAGCGGGGCCTCACACCAGAGAAACACTCGCTTTTTTGTCAGGGCTGGTCTCCTCATGTTTATTTCCCTTTGCCGCGAGAGCAATTTCCCCTTCCCACACAGGGAGCGGCGGCCCATGGCCGTATCAAACGCGGCTGTGGGGATGGGGCCAGCCCTACCCCGCGCCGGCACAGCCAGGCAGGGGCGAGCGCCCGCGCGGCCGTATCTCATCCGCCGGCATGCAGCACGCCGCCACGCCTGCAGGAAACATATGTCACTGGTTAAACAGATCGTGAAAGCTTCAATCACTTCCTTATGGCGGAGCCTGGCTGAATTCATACCAACAGCCAGCATCTCCTGAACCCTTTCCTGCGAACGGGACCAGCCCTCGCTTCCGTAGTGCTTCCCTGCCTCGGCGCTCCCCCTCTCCCCGTGGAGATGGGGCAACACTGTGGGGAACTGTGAAACACCATCCAGAAAGACAAACCTTTTCTTGTCAGCACCTTGTTACCTCCCCAGGATGCTCCCCTCTCACTGTAAACCTGCCCCGCAGGAGCTCAGGGATGAGGAAAGCCTCCTTCAGATGCACACTCCATCCTCAGGCTCCCTCCA